ACAGTTGGCAAGGTTGCAGAAGCTACATGTATTCTTTGCCTTTTGATCTGTTTTTCTTACAGAATCATATCAGTTTTTCTTATAAGGAAATAGTGTAATAAGATAGTATTATGAGGCAGTATAATAGGATACTCCCGTCTCTCCCAAGAGCATTTGTAGTTTCATTTATAACTTTACAAGGATACTTCCCACTTTCCCTTCTAATAGGTTCAGTGTGGCTGGATTTATGTTGAATTCTTTGATCTATTTGGACTTAAGTTTTGTGCATGTCGATAGATTTGGATCTTTCTGCAGTCTTCTACATGCCAGCATCCAGTTATGCCAGCACAATTTGTTGAAGTTGCTTTCTTTTTTCCTTGTATAATTTTAGCTTCTTTGTCAAAAATCAGGTGTTTGTAGGTGTGTGTGTTAATATTAGGGTTTTCAATTCAATTCCATTGGTCTTCCTGTCTGGTTTCTCTTCAGATTGTATAAATCTTTCGCCATTTTATGTATTTATAAGATATATTCTTTATCTGCCAAGACTCACTAGTAAAGAAACAATAATTTAATTGGATATCTACTATACTAAAATCATGAATGTGTTTCTGGGTGGGGTAAATAATTCAGTTTGAGGAAAGGGAAAGACTTCAAAGTCTGTGAGACTAAAAGATTACACAGTTTGTGGATAAATAAGGGGATCAACATTCCAGGTAGATGGAAAATCACATATGTTATGTGGGAAGGACATAAGTTGAGACCTAGTAATGACAGAAGGTTTAAAGTAGCTCAAATTGACTTGATTTGAGCTTTGGGAAGCAGAAAAAAATCCAGATTAGGAAATTAGATCCCAGGCTGAATGATGACGTTTTTTTCTGGCAAAGACCAATCTTTTGAGGTAGTTTGCACAATTGGTTTTGTAATTGGAATTTAGAAAACAAGGATGTCACAATTACTAGTTGTAATAGAGGTTTGAAAAATATGAGATTATAGATCAATTTTTCTTCCTTCTTTCTCTCTCTCTCCCTTCCTTCCTTCCTTCCTTCCTTCCTTCCTTCCTTTCTTCTTCCTGTCATTCTTTCTTTCTTTCTTTCTTTCCTTCCTTCCTTCCTTCCTTCCTTCCTTCCTTCCTTCCTTTCTTCTTCCTTTCATTCTTTCTTTCTTTGTTTCTTTCTTTCTCTTTCTATTTATTTATTTTTGAATCAGGCTCTTGCAATGCATCCCTGGGTTGCCAGGAACATGCTATGTCCTGGCTAGCCTGGAATTCACAAAGATCCACAAGCCTCTGCTTCCTAAGTGCTGGAATTAAAGGCGAATATCACCACATTTTGGCTAGAAACAGTTTTTCAGGAGTGGTGAGATAAGATGACCTGTATTCAGTTTCTTGTAAGAGTAGCAGATGCTGCTACGTGCTAAAAGGAAAGTTCTGATGTGAGATGAGGACTACATTTGTTCATGTTTCTTCACTGTAAAATCCAAAACATTGTGTTGTATTCTCTTCAACCTAGTTACAACAAATTATAGCTTTTAGTACTTTATAATTATATATGCAGCATAATTATATGTGTAATTATATATTTATAATAGTTTAGATGTATAGATATAATTATAGATAAGCAATCTATAATTATTTATATGTTATATACAGTTTTACAATATAATTTTAATGTACAATATTAGAATATTTTATCCTAAATAGTTATGCCATTTGTTTTACACAAATTTTTCTTTAAGAAGCCACTTAAAATATGAGTTATATGATTATACACTTAAAAAACTTGCAAGGATTTTTTAAAATATTTTAATCAAAATGTTTATATTAGAAATTGTAGAGTTCATAGTTGTGGGGTTAGATGAGTATATTTAATGGTATGATATTTTACATAAAAGTATTAAAAGATTTGAAACTATGCAAAGGAAAATCTCAGATTCTCTTTTATTTTCTTTTGTAAGGACTGGCATTGGATTTTTTTTTTTTTCTTGTATAATCTCAGATAGTATTGTAGTTTGTAGCTACATAAATGTTAAGCTTTTCTCATTAAGGGCAATGAATTGGTTTGGCCTTGAATGTAAAGCGAAAAATTTTCGCTGGATGTGCTTAGGGATTTAGCCAGCTTAAAAGACTAATTTTGAAGAAGGATTGAAAGAGAATTACACAGGAAACCTTTGATGATAATTCCTACTTCTCTGTGTCGTGGGAGAGCATTCCAGAAATTGCCTTTGCTTGTGTCTGGTAGAAAGAGGGTTCAGCATGTCTTGTTGACAACTAAAACCATGCAAATCAATAGAACTGGGCAGCATCTGTTTCAAACAGATCCTCCCTTCTATTAGCAAGGGTAGTAATCAGATGAGTGTAGGTTAGGAGGTCAGTGTAAAGACAGAGTCACAATGGCGTTCTAAAATTGGCTGGCAGATCTGCAATTCAAATGACACCCAATTTTTCTTTGTTATGTTGAAACAAAATTGAAAGTAAACAATCCAGTAAATCAGCCTATGGATATGGTAATTGACTGAAAATCTAGTACCCGATTTCAAAGAAGAGCGAAATGCCGTGTTTCATCTATAAGGTTGGGCATTTGTTCTATTACGAGGAAATTGTTATGTTCTCAGCATAGTCTGGCAGTCTTACAGCTGGTAGAGAGCAGAGGCACAGAAACATGAAGAGTCCAGTGAAAATCCCCTTTGAATGCAAGGACTGGCATGACAAGGCAGAAGAGAGAATTACAGTGGTGGAGGTTGACGACCCCATCAGCTGCTTGTCTTACAAGTACCAATATGCATTGTGCAGAACAGACTTCTGGGGGCAAGACCAGGCAGAGGCTATGAGAGGAGGAGCTTGTGTAATAGTCTCAGTAAGAGATATTGAGGGCCTTAATTAGGGTGGTGTGACCAATGAGAAGGAGCACGGTGGACTGAGGAGCTATTTCGGGAATAATTAGTAGCTCCTGAGATGGATTAGATGGATGGAATAGAGAAAAGGGTGGAACTGATATTCCCTTGAGTTTCTTCAGACTGCTCTATTTCTGTCTTGACAACAGTCAAGAGCTATTCTTCCAAAGGCAGCTGGAGTTTGATATGGTCTCCTTTGTATAATTGAGTAGAGTAGAGTAGGATGAGAGGTGTTTGGAAACAAGAGAATATTAACTTTGAGAAACACTGCTTATTAAACACATGGAACAAGAAAGAAAGCTGAAGGTGCTATTCCATGGGCTGTTTGTACACATGTGTTCTTTTTTTAATTTATTTTTTTTTTAGGTTAGCATAACAGGGTTTGTCATGGCATCTTCATCTTTGTACTATGTATTATTAGACTTTTTAATTCTCATTTGTTCCTCTCCCCCACTGACCTTTCCCCACTTCCTCCTTAAGCTGTTTCTTTTCTTCACCCAGTTAGTCTCGCTTTCTGCTTATTATATCTCTTAAGATCTCTTCTTCTACCTCTTAATCCTTCATTTTGTTTTATGATCCATAAATATCTATACAAATACATGCATAAATAAAGTTAGGTCCATGGCCTGTATGGTTTATAATCATAGCTTCTTGTAAGGAACTTTTTGTTACACCATCTCTTTGACTTTTCTTTAAAAAAAGATTGATTTTTTTAATGTATATGCATCTCTCTCTCTCTCTTT